GCCCACGGCAAGCACTGTGGCAGCTCTTCTTGCTCATTAGCGGTTCGTATTCCACCACATCTATTTTTGATTTTCCAGTCTCCGTGGGCTTGACGAGGCTTGATATTGTTTTTCAGGCCCATGCAGAGTTCACTGCACCACTTACTTTCAGATCCAACTGTGTCAGGGACTCAATCGAACATTTTGGCTACATCTCTGGTTGATCCCAGTGCTTAACAAGGTTGAGGTGCATAAGCATATCCTGTTTCACGTTTTCAGGGAGGACGCGCTTGTCGCCGCAAATAGGAGCGAAGCGAATATAGCGAACCATTGCAAAGTTCATCACTTGGGCCGCGCAGTTGCAAGAGCACAGCAATATCATTGGAAAGTTATGAAAGAGATTATAACCGTATTTTATGCTTTGATAAAAACGTGATTGGGCCTGCGTATACCAGACAGATGACACCTCAGCGATGTCCATAACAAAAATGAAAATGACCCTGAAGCGTCCCATCGGGTCCCTAAACAAGCCGTACTGCACGCAAGGACGCAAAAACATCCGCAGGTCACCTTTAAGCAAAGCACCGCATTCCCCTCCCCGAACACCATACTTTTACTTCTACAGTGCGGGCTAATTTGCAACAACTGGCCTACGGCATGGCGGTTGGCAGATTAGGCTTGCTGTGAACACAATTGAAGCTTTATAACTGCCTGTAACCACTTGATACCGTCGACAGGTATATTTAGAAGGCCCGACCTGCTGGTAAGACGGTAGTAGTCCAACAGTACTGTTCTCAGCGAACAGTTCAGTTGCAACGAGGACAGCTGATGAAATAAGCTTCTGAAGTAGGCGTGGCCAGCACCGGTTGTACACGCAGGACTGGATTTCCTTTACCACTTTTGAGAGCCAAACTGCATTAATCCGGCGAAATACTGACTGTCCTGAAGGCCGCTGCAACTCCTCTGCCATTGACGGGATCTGGGAAGAGCTTCGCCGTTTGGGTGTTTTTGGTTTCGCTGGCACGTGGCGAATTATGCAGCACTCATTAGCGAAATGGTACCGCAACTCAAGGTCATCATAATTCAGCTTCTCCAGCTTCTCTGACCCTGAGGCCACGCCTTTTGAAGTGCTAAGCCTTTTTTTCCAATGTTCCACTGGGTGTTTGTACCTGCTTAGAGTATTTTCTTTCCAGTGTCGCCAGTCACGCCGCACAGTGAGGACTAGTAAAGCCCAAAGGTCACTACAGAGGCTGCCTAGAAAGCCCTTCGTATGTTTCGTTTTCTGCACTGCTACTGTAGAAAGTGCGTAGGCCCAATCTGAAGCTGTTGGCTTTCGCGCGCCAGCATGTTTAAACGTCTTCCGGAACGAAACACGGTCCTCTTGAGGTTCAGAGCGTGGTTCCCCATATACACTATTGCTGTAGTTCTGCCTTTTCTCGTTCATTCCAAAAATCACCTCTGTTCTCCAAACTGTTGTGGACAAGAAGTTAGTGAGGAAAAATGGTCTAACGATGGCTTCCTGAAATGCCTTAACCAGAAAAGCTTTGGTTTTATCCCAAAACGTATGCTCCTCCGCTGTGGTGCCCTCGATGGCACTTAAAATTTTCCTCTCCGTAAACGCGTACCCAAAATGCCAGTAGGAGAATGCAAAATCCTTGAGAATCATAAGGAGGTACAGGTAAATACTCGAAGCCTTCATCAGCACATTACGGATGAGTAAGTATCTCCATGCGTCCCAGATAATCGAGAAGCAGCAAATGATTTTGTCAAGCTCTAAGGGATCAGGTCCGTCAGGGCGTACTGGAACGTAGGGCTCCCTTGGAGGAAAGTGTTCGACAGACGCGAGAATCGGGGCGAGCACACGGCTCTGGCGCGCTGCAGCGCTGAATGTTGAAGCTCTCGACCCCAATCGCGAGTTTCGGCTTCTCTGTTCAGATGTTCTGCCTCCCCGCTGGTGGGTGGCACTTGCATATCTATCTGTGCGGGTGCGTTGATATGTGTCTGCATCGCCGCCCACACTCCCCTCCACAGATGTAGGCTTACGTTCACCAGTGCATGCTTGCCGCGCATTACTAGATGCATACGAATGCCCACTCTTTCTGGCTCCTAGCCCAGATGTAGAGTTTTCTGAGCTCTGCTTCAAAACGTTGCTGCTTTCAGGGCCATCTAGCCCCTCCAGAAGGGCACGCACGCCATCTTCGTTTTCTTCATTCTCCTGCGGTAGGAGCTCCTCAGTTGGCCCTTCCTTTACAGAGGGCAACTCACGGTAAACTTGATAAGAGAGGTTATATCCGAACTCAACCATTACAACTGTGGCCTTGTGCGTCCCAGGCAAGAAAATTGACCCGTAGAAATTTGCCACGGCTAACTCCCCAACAAAGGATATAATTGCGCTAAGCTGTAGCTGAGCAAACTTATGCTGCATTGTGTCGAACACTGGTGAAAAGACTGTACGATTGAACACGTCTACTCCAAAGAATATGATGCCAGGTAGGTGGAAAGTCAGAGCTCGCCTAGCCTGGTCCTTAGTTGTTGCGAGGTACACACCCAGGGGAATTAGCAGAATTGATCCGAATATAAAGGCAGCGTACAATGGCCATGTAAATGTGTTTAGGAAAGGTAAAACTTCGCGGACTTCTGGGAAGGTTTGAATGTGATAGGGGGCAGCATTCAGAATGAACTCGACAACGAAATAGCCAATGTACCCCGACATTTCCTTCCAAAATCCCACGCTTCTCCCTCCTAGCGTCCATACTTTGACATACAGGACGTATGTTACATGTAAAGCGAATTCATTGACCAAGTACATGTAACATATGTTTTCCACTCGAGCATATGCATCAGGAGGATCTATACAATCAGGATCTACTTTTTCTCCCATATCGTCGAGAACACAAGGCTGTGGGGGATGGTAGTCTGGTATCGGATTACCAAGGTCGTCTAAAGGGCACTCTTTGTAGGTTACAACCCACAGTGCAAGAATTGCGTAAGCAATACTTAGACTCATGCCGAAGAGGTGGCGAATGCGGCTGTCGACACGAAGCCTTTTTGTTGATATTACCTCATAAAACCTGGAGAAAGCATTTTTCTGTTTTTTATCAGATGCCGGATTGTCAGCTCCGCTCTTAACCAGGGCTCGTGCTTGTGGTGTCTTACCAGCAGTCTCTGCGCCTGGATCTGGTGAAACAGGGACAAATGTGGCCGTTTCGGCCCCATCCTGTCCATTCATTATTCCTTAGTCTTAGTTTCTGTCCGCTGCTTGGGGCATTCAAGAAATGGGAAGTCATGACTAACCCGGGGGTTGCTGTGGTGGGGTCACCTTACACGCTCCGGTGACCAAAACAGTAGACGCATTCAGTGCACAGACTAGCGGCTGGCATGGAGGACCACGTTAACGTCCCAACAACAGATTTTGTCTTATTTTCTTAGACTTGGGAAAATGAGGGTAGTTTGGTTACTCCTGAAGCCTGGAAGCTGGGGCGGCTGGACGTACTCAAGCACTGATCCTATGGGAGCTGAACTGAGCATACTCTGGAAGTGAGCGTGAAATCACCAGCGTTTACCACTCAAAGAAAAACTAGAAACTTTTTTTATAGATTGAGACGGTTGATATTAGTCCAACAATTCTGTGACAGCAGCAGGGAACTACGTCGTCGCAAGACTGGCTGCGTGGCCGCGTGGCACACCTGTGTAGACGGGCTGGGCATACAGACAGCAACCCCTCTGTCAGTGTGATGATGAGCATAGATTTTCCGAGAGCAGATTATTTTATGAACGAACGCTTGGCGTGGCTTTGTTTGGCCGTTGAACTCCTGGAGTCGACCTCGGCCGTGCTTACAGAGGCAGCAGCATAAGCTAAAATTCAACAGCTGCTGTTTTTGTTTCTTCTTCATTTCACCTACTCAGTAACTCCAGTAGCGCAGGCTCCAGCCGTCCCGGATGTTGACAGGCCGTTCACTGGATTCAGTGTTACGGTTTAGGTGGTCCTCAGACAGAAACATTGCTCCAATTACTTCATGACATTCTCTTCGCCTGTCTTTCAAAACATGTCAGAATTTTTGGCATGTTGCTGTAGGTGCAAATGCTCTGGTATGGTGTAGCACAGGCTTCGTGCTAGGCATGTCACTCGGAAATAATAACACAATCTTGGAACTCAATCATGCCCAAGAAAGACGGTGGTGTCCCTGTTCAAGTCACAGGATATATCGCACATGGCCTTCGTTACTGCTGAGTTTTAGGGAATGTGCAGTAGGAGCACATATTAATTGTTGCGTTGGTGAGGTGCCCATGAAAGAAAAACACGCAGAAGCTGACAGAGCCTACAATCGAAGAAGCGAGCCCGAAAGGCTCATTTTCCGAAATGCACACCACAGTGCTACTTAGGGCAACAAACATTGAATACAGCAAAAAAGGAGGGGCCTTTCCCTGCACTCAGCATAATGCACAAGGCAAAACCCATCTTCTATCGAAGTGCGTGGTTTCATGTGCTAACTATTTGTTTCAGTGCATCGAAAGGAAAAAGGACCATCAGCTCTCTTAATCGTTGCCGCAGCACTTTTTCTGCCGCCACTCACGATTTCATTTCTCCAGCTTGGGAGAAACTATTGCACAGCCACTCTCAGCTGTACCCTTCAGACGCAGCATGAGCCTTGTCTGCATGAGGATCCTAGAAGAAACCGTCGATCCGCTTCTTCTTACAGTTTCGCTTATAAGCACCACATAGATAACATCCCCCACTGTACTTCAGCAGCATCTTTCACCATCCATGCTTCTGATGAGTTCCAGCATAGAGATCAATCGAGACTAACTGCCCCCGCTACTCGGAGGTCCATACTCTATACTACATGAAATTAGAATAACAAGAGCAGTGGGTGAATGCCTAACATCCTCACCTCTTCCCACACTTTTACAATATAGCTGGCTGAAATTTCACCTTCCTTCGGTGGAGTAGAGCCATGAGTTCTGTAGTGCGTAACCTCGGTAAGGCAGTGGCGCTGCCGCTTAAGCTCACGGCTAAAGTTATGGAGAAACTGTACAAAGGGTCAGCAAAGGTTACGGTGAGAGCTAGAAAAGCCTGTGGAAAGTGCGGACCAAAAAGCTGCCAAAGGTGCAGCAAATCTTTTGCCCACGCCTTCATCACCTGCAAGAAACAATGCAAGAAGGTTTCTGGAAAAGCAGGGAGAAGCGTCACGAGCTTGCGTAGCCGCTATTGTTGGAAGCATTTAAATTGCTGTGATCCATTTCGGCGGTCTTGCTCCCAGTGCAAGAAGGTGAAGGGCAAGTGCTTCACCCGCCTTAGGGCGTGTGGCTGCAAACGGCCACTTCAGTGTCCTTCAAGGGGCAGCAAGGGCACGTTCATAGGGCTTTGTTGGTTCTGCCCGATGAGAGACAAACACACCCATAACGCTACACAGTCAGTCCAAACTTCTCCCTCCAGCAAGCCCCGAAACAACGAAAGGCGCCAGCAGTACAAAAGTAGTAATGCGGCAAAAGAAACAAAAACTAGAGGGCAAAGAGCAGATATGAAACATGGAAGCCCAGTGCGAATGAAACGCCATGACAAAAAACACCGCACAGATCACGCGACTCGCCATGACTCGAAGAAGCATAGGCACAGAGACAAGAAGGCTCAAAACGATGGCATCAGCGCACCCCACATATCTGCCTCTGTAGAAGAAGGGCAATCTTTAAGGGAAGAAGCCAAAGCTTCCGGAAAAAAAGCCACTAGGACGAAAGAAAAATCGAGCCAAGAAAGACATAAACGGACGCTGCGGCCTTCCTCAAAAAATAGCGAGAAACGCAGGCAGGAAACTCCACGTAGCATCGAAGAAAAGTTGAGAGCAAAACAAGAGCTCTCCCTGCTGACGTCTTCTGAAGTTCACGCGGAGAGAAATGAAACGACCCGAAAAACTAAAAAAAAGTCGGGCGCACGAGAACACAAGAACGAGCTGCCAGTTTCCCCAGCCATTCATGCAGGGAGCGAATATGATGGCGCAACTATAGACAACACAGGGACATCGAAAACACAAAAAGACAACGGCTTGTGGCGAGCTTTGCCAGAGTCCCGTGAAGTGAAAATAGATGAACAGAAGGTGGAGTTACAGGTTAATGAGGTCCGTACAACTGCTATAAGTCCTTCTGGAAATTCAAAAATAAAAGCAAAACAATCTAGGGCTCCTGCAAGAGATAGAGATTACGAAACATTGGGTAAAGACAACTCCAAAGAGGAAAATTGCCAGGATGAAGAGGAGACTTCGATAGTGCCAGCGAGCACTGCGCAGGGAATCCGGGAAAGAAGGCATCAAAAAGCAAGTAATTCCAAGAAACCTGAAATGCAAAGCGAAAAAGGGAGGGACTTAAATTCTCGCGCAGGTGCATCAAATGAGTCGAAGCGGTTTCAGCAAAATGTCTCGCAAGAAGGTACGGGTTCTGGTTGTCCCGCGCAATTCGCAACCGGTATAACCTGTAAAATGCATCGAATTTTAAGGCAATGCCTAATACCTTGATATTCATGCAGAAACCTTTCTTAGTACACGCGTGTACGTCAACCTGCTGCAGAGTTACCGATGAAAAATGAAGTTCAAGGTCAGTTGAAGGACGATGCACAGCAAATCGACCAGCGTGCAAATGGGGCGCGACGGACACAAAAACACAAAGATGCCAATGCAAACGCGATATCGGGAATTGCAAAAAAGAAGAACTCTCATGGAAACTCAGAACAGCAGACAAAACAAGTCCACAAAAGAAAAACCCAGGAAAAAAATCAAGCGTTGGATCGAAGGCATTCTCCGACAGGTACCACGCCTGCACCAGCTGAAGGAGCAAAAGGTGCTAATGAAAATGAAGAGCAGAACCACAAACACAATACGCGCAGGAATGATGTGACCGTGCTTCAGTCGAGCTCAACAACGCACGAAAACGCAGAACGGTGTAGGAAAAATTCACAGGGCACAAGAGGGCCTGCAAGGCAGCCTACTGGAGAAAGCCAAAAAGCCGAGGGAGTTCGAGCCGCAGGTGTAGCGGAAGTCCTAAAATTTACTTCTGACTCAACAACGCACGAAAACGCAGAACGGTGTAGGAAAAATTCACAGGGCACAAGAGGGCCCGCAAGGCAGCCTACTGGAGAAAGCCAAAACGCCGAGGGAGTTCGAGCCGCAGGTGTAGCGGAAGTCCTAAAATTTACTTCTGACGGATTCCCAACAAATTCCAGCAAAACCACGAAGCCAATTCAAAGGCAAGAAAACACTGAGGATAGCGGTACAGCTCAGATTATGTCGACGCCGACGAAGGCGGCTTCCAGAAGCAGCATTTGCTGCGGCGACCATGAGGGTCAAAACACACTTCTTGGCATCGAATGCCGATTACGTCCCGAGCTTCCCTGATTTGTATAAACTCATACTTCTTTGTGAAGCAACGAATTTGATCTAGTCAGAAATGCGAGGCCTTTCTGAATTTTGCTCCTTTGTTTGAAAATCACGTGCACTTTGCTAAAGTTCACTCACTAGTCTGAAGTGTCACTCCCACCCTAATAATCTGTATGCACGATACATTGCTGCAGTCAACCTTGTTTTGGCAAATTCAACAAAGCCCGAAGAAAAACTGCTGATCGTTCGTCAGTTACTGCTAGTATGCTTGCGTAGATACTTTTGCTTCAACTCCAACACGCTTCCGAACCTATATAAGAAAAAGCTTGATTTGTCTCTGAGGTATGTACTGAAGTGCCGCTGCAAAGATATATACCGTACTACTGCTGAGCTTCTCTAGATTCAAATTTGAATACAGATACCTCGAACAATTCCATTTCCTGGCCTGCAGGCGCCGACAGATGCGACGTGGGACCGCTGCGAGCTCGTTCACTTAGTACGTTTCGCTCTTCTCTTCGCTCTCCGCGCCGCTGCCCTCTTCAACGCTATGTATTCTTCACGCTGATTGATTCCACGCCAATACGATTGAAGCAGACAAGCGGCGACTGCTTTTTTGGCTCGATCTGCTTCTGCTCTCGCATAAACTGCTCTGGAGATGCGTTCTGCATTGTCCTTCCTCTCTTTTTCTGCATCAATTGCATCTAAAGCTCTGGTCAGGCAGGCCAGAGACTCTCCATCCATTTGGTTTCTTAGTTTCATTGCTTGAATCTCTGCATGTGTATGGGGTCACATGTTTGAGAATACACAACAACCGGCCACCAGAATGCATTCTATTGCCTATTCTTTTGGACGAGCAACATAGATAAAAAAGGCTAAATTCCGCCAGTGCAAGGCTTCACCAGAGAGCTGAGTTTACACTGAAGAATTACCTCTTTCTTTTTGGGCGATCTCCTTGTCTAGTAGTTTCACTGAGTTTTCCAGTTCCTGTTTAGCTATCCGTTGATTTCGAGTCCTCACGTCCATATCCTCTCGTGCTGCCGCTGCCTGTCTAGCCCCACGTGCTTCTAACTGGGCTTTGAATGCAGCAGCTTCTCCCGTTTTTCGTTGGAAAGCACGAGTCTGCTGCGCGTCTTTCCTGGCAAACTCCTCGTTCATCTGCCACAAGCGCTGCTCTGTGGTGCTTTGGATGTCATGAAGGTCAGATTTCAGCTTTGCAATCGCTTCTGATGATCTGGAGGCGTGCTTCTGCCTTGCAGTACGTAGCTGCGACAGCTGGGCTTCCAACTCAGCGCGACGCTCTGCAGCGGTGCGCTCCTGTTGGAGGTACATCTGTAGTAGATCGTCGTTCGCCTTCTCGTCTTCTACCGGTGTTGTGAGTCGTTTCAGCATTACCTCCTGCGATGTCACGTTTGAAAAGGACAGGCGTGTCTTTATGGGACCTCTAACCACACTTCGCAGTGGTCATTGTTCGAATGGACCCTTTTCATCTCTTAATGCTTTTGCGAGCCCAGAAACGCCTCTCCTGTCTCACTGGTCTCAAGTGAACATAAGTGTAGCCGCTTTATGCTGCAAGTCACTGATATGATTGTGAATCCTCCTGCATTCAGTTTCGCAGTTGCGACTCACCTGCATATCTGCCAGAGCATGAATGAATTTCATGGAGTTGACGGGTTTCACTTCTTGCAAGCTCCTCAACTCTTGCACTACGTTTGGCACCTCTCGCAGTTTTCTGCACAGTTCCCTGGTGTTCCTCTCTAACTGCTCAACAATTTCCTGCAGATCATCCACATCTAGAGATGCTACCGCAGCTTCATCGCTTGTTATAGTGCTCCCATGGTAAAGCTCCTCAAGTCTAGTCTGCTCCGCCATGCGTCTCAAAATCTCAGGTCCAAGTATCTCTGAAAGGTGCCCAGAATCATTGTCCTGAATTGCTTCCAACACCTGAAACTCACTGACCCGACATTTACTATGCGAATTACAGTAGGAATATTTCAAGATGACGGGCTTGCTGCATCCAAGTACCCAGTGAAATTTACATTTTTGGCATATTGGATACTTTACCAAGTTGTTTAACTTTCAGTGGCACCGTTAGAACTGATGGAACACCACGCTAGAACGAAGGGCGGCCAAGTACACCGTGCACAAATGCGGAAACGTGTGGCTATCCTACTTGATGGCTGGCAAACGTCAGCAAGGTCAGCTTCTGTGTCAACTCATCCATTACAGAAGAAATCCGATGGACATCAGAGCTCATCGCCTTTACCGTCGACATCTTCAACTTTAATTTTCAAGGAAGTTTAGCCGAACTGCTTCTGCTTTGTATACCATGTTCGCACAAGGCGATTAAGTCTAGCAGAGCTTTGCTCGTTGTAAGCACATTTCGCATGCGTCTCCCGGACACGGCAGCAATGGCTGAAAGTGGTTGGTTTCGCCAGCCAGTCATCAGAGAGCAATCTGTTGACACCCGCTGCACAACAGGTGCAAAGGAAGCCCGAGTTCAACGTCCCAGCAGTGCTCTGCAACGTTAACCCACTGTTGTCATCAGTGGCCCAAAAGTAAAAATGTGCTGGTCAGCGTCAAATAGCTAAGCTCGCACGATCATGTCGCTGGCAATGGTGAAGGACTAACGTATTGGAGCTCACTCATTCCCAAGTAATGTGGGCTGATAGAAAAATTCTTGAATGGAATTACTCCAGTAGATTCATTTAATTTCTTACACGAGGAATAATATCCTTCGAGAAGAGTTCAAGAGTGGCATCATCACCGGTAAAGCGTATCTGAGCGAACGGCATACGTCAGGCATGCGCTAGATCATGAACAGACAGGCTGTGGAGCTCGTAAATGACTCTAGCTCCAGAGATTCCTGTATCTAACACAAATTTAATATACGGATGTAATTTGCGAGGTTAAATTGCGATTTGTGGACGACGCTTGTGTCTCCAGTACCGCTGCGCTGCATCTACTCCAAGAGTGACCTCACCACATCCATCTGAAATCATTCGCTCAACAGCTTCTTGGTCGATGCATAAAGTTGGAAACCAAGACTAAATAGTAGAAGAGGACACACCAGTGTTAATTACCGTCAAAAAAGTCCTATCATCTGCTTTAGGGTGAATCAAGCCCCATCTTCGCCACGGGAGAAATTGCGGTCATTCACTTCTGCATAAATGAAATTCAAGCACTGCTTCCTGCAAAGACTATTCCTTTTTCCCCTTAAATTTACTATAACCTGCAGGGGAAAACTTAGGGAGGCAGATTCCAAGCAAGGTTTAATTGGGCGCCCGGGATGAGCACCTTGGTGCTTTGGCACATACCAATCATATGGAATGCCTTCAATGCTCACAACTCTGTACCACTCAATTCAGGCAGTGTATCACTTTTGGTGAATATTGTACATCCAGCCCTCTGGTTTATCGCTCCCTAGCAGTGCGATAGATCCCCATTCCTCAGACGCACTACTAAGCGGCAGACGTCCTTCTACTAAATTTCGCGATATTCTGGGCGCCATTTCCACACGATATGCTTATATCATTATAGTATTTTTACTTGTATTCTTACTTATAGAAGGAGACAGCCACAAGTATGTGTCAACCGCTATCCTTTGTTCAACAGATAGAGCATGGTCCAGCCGTTCTTAGCATAAGTCAGTTTGCCAAGTACGTCTTGCCGTGCCTGCTGCGCGTCGCAGTAGTTAGTAGGACTTAAGTGAGTTAATGGACCTATATGCAAGCGGACTTGCAGAATGGGTAAGAAGGAGAGCTATTTGGAACTTCGAGGACAGTCACACCATCTCTTGAGCAGCCCTTTTTAGTTGGCCTCACGAATTGCAGCCTCTACAGGGGTGACCAGTGGAGGGACAGGTCCACGTTTCTACGAAAAGAACATCAGAGAGGGTGGCAGTTCCGTCCTTTGTCCTGCTTGTTTTGTCTCCACAGCGGGGATACAACTACTTCTACCGCTACCCATAGAGAATCTAAGGTGAGTAGAGCTAGCTACGATGAGTGTGTTGAAGCTGCTTGCTTCTCAATATCTTTTCAGTCCTCTGGCTGAGGACAAACAGGGCTCCTGCACTGCGCAGCGTTTTCCGCTCCCACTAGGTTACTACCTGTCGCACAAATAGGGCACCCTTCTGGCAAACCCTCTACACTCGACACACGTATCTCATGAAACAATAACAAACAACCAGTAACTCGTTATCATTCGAGT